GGTAGTCAAGGAAATAAAGCATAAGACAGTTATATAATGTCATAATAATATTTCGAGCATTGGAGCAAAAGGAAGTTTTACTAATTTTATTTGGCGAACTATATTTGCCTGAAATAATCAGAAAGATATTTTTGACTAAAAAATCAAGTTATATGGATATGATTCAAATTTTCATTTCTTTAAGCTTATATTGACACAAATGATTGCTAATGCAATTGTAGATAAATAAACACTTCTTATAATAAAAGTACGACAAACCTGATATTGGAGTATTTCATCTCCACACCTTTTCACAGCTGAGCTAAAATCAATCCATTTCACCTTCCCATTCGGTTTATATTCACCTATTCGTGAGATCAAAATGGTAACATCTTTTGCAATATCTGTTTCCGAAATTGCTCCCACGTCACCACTGCAACTGCCAATTAATAAGTTGCCAGTTTTACTGGTACAAGTTTCTTTTCATTACTAATATTAGAATATGCCAAGAGAAAAAAACTTTGAAATGTTAAAAACTACCTTTCAGTCGATTTTTTGCGAGCCTTCCGAAGTTTTTTCATCAGACGCTTTTGTGATTCATCATCATCATAGATTCGGAAGATATCGACACAGTGTAACGAACCCTAAACAGTTTCCTGCTTCAATTTTTTTACACAGAACCACGAAAACAACAAATAAATAAAGTTGAAAAGGAAATAGCGATCGCCACAATTACAGTGGAAGATCGCTATTTCCTCTAATAATTTTAATAATTCATAAAATTTTACTAATAATTTATAATTCATAAAAAGTCTAGTAATTTATAATTCATAAATTCAGAACTATACATCTTCTAACCACTATAATCTTTTTTCAAGCTACAGCTAAGAATAAGGATTTTTATCCCACTTATTTCTTGAGGATAGCAAAAACACATCTCAATATATTACATCATTTTTCCTTTAATTAAATTATTTGTTAAATGATTAGTAAAACAAAATTCAACATTATTTCAGTAGAAAAGTCAACTATACATACTTACCACACATGCAATAAGTTTCTCATCCCGGCTAACAGCAAGCTGAAGAGTTCGTCCTTTAGAACGTCTCAAAATTTGTCCTTTTTTCACACAACGTACAATATTCTAAAAAAAAAAATTCATCCACTAAATTTTAAAAAAATTTTTTTGCTTAGAAATTTCAAAAAATCAAAACTGTCATAAGCATTATTTTCTCGTTGAAAATTTTTTCTATTTCAAGTACTTAAAACACTCACATTTGCCTGCGTATCTTCAGTATATTCAACAGAGTTATCGCTAGCTTTTAATTTCTTCGTTGAGTTATTATCTTCGTCATCCATCTCCATTTTTTCTAACCAGTTAAGTTCAAAGACTCGTAGTTCTAACTCTGCGGATCCAACCAGTAGAAAAGTATCGTTTTTGAGCAGCGAAAACGTGTAAACCTTTAAGTACAAAAAGGTGAAGTAAGCAAAAATTAACATAAATTGAGAAAAAAAAAGTACTCCACGATCATCATTATTTCGTCCAGTCAATTAGATATAGTCTTAAATTAATTGATTTCTGATTTTCTTATCAAATTTAGTGATACTAATGGTACAAAAGAAATGGAGTGATTAAAACCAGGATAAAGTTTAGTAAGAATATTACCTCGGAATGACAATCTGTTATGGTGAAGAAGCAACTTCTTGAATCTAAACTCCAGAACTTCACATATGAATCTTTTGAGCTAAAAAAAAATACGAATATCAAAAAAAGAAAAAAAATTACAGTATGGATTATCAGGTGCTACAATTTACTTTTAAATGTTTCATAAAATAATACCCTCTAAATATTCCATAAAAAATGGTGGAGAAAAAAAGAATGGAAAAATACCTGCTAATAAGAAATCGTCCATCTAATGTAAACTGTAAATGTGTCACCGAATTTTTGTGTCCGTTTAAACGAAATAAACCAGATTCATTTACGATATCCCAAATAACCACCGCTGAATCCTACAATTACAGATCATGCAGATGAAATAAAACAATACAAGTTAGCTTGAAAAATTCTGAAATACGATTTCCCACTAACAAAAATTATTACATAGATTATCATTCTTAAAAGTGATAAGGGTCAAAATGTGGTGATTAGGGATCTGGACTTCAATTGAAACTCAAGTTTCAAACTCATGTATCTCATTACTGGAAGAAATTTCAAGTAAAGGAAGGAAGTAAAATCGATGGCCTATAATTATATATGTGAAATTCGTGGAACAAAATCATGATAGTACAGAATTTTGGTTACATATACAAAACCTAAAAATTCAAAAGATACCTTTCCACCAGTTGCCAATGTCAAACCATCCTTACTAAATGCAATACAGTTAACACCTGTTCTGTGTCCCGAAAATGTGACATACATTGACCGATCTGAATTTTGGATAGAAATTCGCATTTATTGAAGCTAGTTTTTGTATTCAGCTTCTCCAGATATTTACAATTATGACTGCTTATACGTGAAAACAAATAATTTACAGCTCACAAGAGTATTAATTTTTGATAGCCTAAGTGGTCTACTCGAATTTCATATGTTTGTGTGGAGAAGGGAAGTATAATACAGACATTTATGAAAAAGTTAATTATATTCAGGAGAATAAATAGCTATTCATATCAGTCTACATAGAAATAAAGGATTTCAAACCATCGCTTTTCCGATCGTACAATCGAGTTGTTCCATCGACATATCCAACAGCAAGGAACCGTCTATTCCCACTAAATTTAATGGTCGAAACACACTTATTCGACCCTCTGATTTCATCAACCTGAACAAGATTTCTGAATCTATTTAAACTTAAAATCAAATACTTATATAACCAAAAAAGCCCGCAGCTTCAAAGTTTGAAACACACACTCAAACAGTTAAATTCCATCTCATCTCTTTTCTCTCTATTTCAAATGATTGGTAAGTATTACTTCAAAAAGTAGCCAACTACTTGATGCTTCCTGAACCCTTCTAATTTTCTTGAGTTTTGTGAACTGTTCATATATAAAAAGCTTAGCTTTAAATTCGATCACTAATCGAAAAAATTTATATATGGAAAAAAAATAATTTAATTTTCAATTATTTCAGTTAATTTCCCATAAAAATATGTGCTTATAACACAATTTCACAAGATTTCAATTAAATTTTCAAATTATTTCTAGATAAAAGCTCAAAAAAAAAAAAAAAAACGTAAACTAACTTTCTCTCCTTTTCTCATGTTATAAAAATGAACATTTTCACATGCTGACACAGCGCAAATGTTATCAGTGATAGCGGCAACAGTTCCACTACTTGATGCTACCACATTACAAGTACCATCGTGTGTATATCGCAAATATTGTTTGGTAAGTCCCATTTCTGAAAATTATTTAATCAAATTTAAACGACTAATGTTGAAATTAATATCGGAAAAATTCTGTTTTTTTTTTTTCTTTTTTTACATTGGCTATTCAATGAATGGTCAGTTAAACAGTTCAAATGATGAATTTAGTTTCTATTTTTATTAATACAGTCTGACAAATCCAATCCGTTCCAGAAATATGATAAAAGTATAAGTATAACAAATTTTGTTCCTGAATTCCTGAAATATAATAAAAGTGCAACAAATCTGCTGGAAACCCAGAAAATACTACTAAAACCCTCAGCCTCAGTAGTAGTAGTAAAAAACTTTCAAGCGACCCCGTTTGATCCGTAACCATCAAATCGATCTGCAACAACGAACAAACGTGGTTTACGCTTGAATTGGATTGTTTGAAAATTGAAATCCCGTAGCTGTATAATTGAATATTTTTGGAATTTATTAACAATGAAGGAGAAATAAAGTAAAATAAATAGAAAAAATTTTTAAAGTTATTCTCATAAACAGTAAATTTGCAAATTAAATACTTTACCTAAAAAATATTAATTTAAAATGTTTACCTTAAAGAAAAAAGTATGCTAAATTTATTTTAAGTTTAACTCTGTTGCCATAAAAATTTAAAAAGTTCAATAAAAATTGCATATTAAATAAAAAAATTTTTTAAAAAAAAAGTTCATTACAACATTCATTATCTAAAAAATATTTAATTAATAAAATTTTCAATTTATTCCAAAAAATTTCAGAATTTTAATTATTTGAGTTACATTTAGAGTTCATTGAAAAATAATAAAAATACATTTAAATGACATTATTGTTAACTTCTACAATGATATAATAAATATTATTATAAATAAATTCTAAATATATGATTTTAAGAATTAAAAATATTTTATAATTCAATTAATCATCAAGCATCTTCCTATTTTCCATTAAAATTTATTGAATTTATAAATTGAAAAATATTTTTAAATGGTAAAATTAATTTTGCAGCATTTCTGTACAAAGCATTTTGAACTGAAATATATGCTTATCATAAATAAATAAATAAAAATGTTTTCCATAATTTATTAAAATATTTAAAAATGAGTGGAATTCACAGTGAGTAATATTATTGAATGAATATTTTGAGAAAAAAAGAAAATTCATTTTGTAATAATTTAATTTATAAACATTTTTTACTTCTTTAAATATTTTATTCGTAGTATAAATATTTGTTTATAGTAATATCAAAATTATTTATATTTATGTATGTTTTTGTGAAAAATATTTTATTTATTTTTATTTTTATACTTATATATTAATCGTTTTCACTTTATTAAATTATATTTGCACAATAACGAAAAAAAAAAAATGTTTTAAAAACTTAAAGAAAAAAAAATGATATTTTGTTAGTTTTATAAACAAATGAATTTTATTTATTTATTTTTTAAAAATAAAAACAATTACTAAATTAAAAAAAAATGAAGAACAAGGAGGAAAATATGTTTGAAAAGATTTTAGCTAAATGTAATATAATTTACATATTAATTTCCTAATATGTAAATTATTTATTTGAAGTATAAGTTTGTAAACAAACTTTTATTTACTTTATTGTTTTATACATACACTTTAGAAATCAGTAAAATGAATAGTGTAAATCAACAAATTGAGCAATCTCAACAAGTATTTATGTGTATTTTAGTTGCTATAAAATTTTAAATTATAAAAAATAAAAAAAAATTTAAACAACAAATTTTTGCTATTTTTAAAAGCAAACTGAAAAGATAAACAAAATTTGTTTTAGTTTGAATTTTGATGAAATGAGCAAGAAGGAAAAAGAATTATGAATTTATATTCAAAGCCTAGAAATGATTGATAAATAATTCAAAATAATTGATAAGATTTCTCTCACGTGATTCACGTGAATCAATTTGTTAGAGATTTTTTTGATGATAATTTTTTAATTCTACTAAATTTTAGTTATTTTAACTAAAAAAAGAATCATTATTAATTCATTGTTTTACTGATATGATAACAAAAATTTGTTATGAATTATGATAATATTTATAAATTTAAATCTGCTAGTTAAAATAATATTTAAATCCAAATACAGATGAATTTATTATGATTATTAATAATTTAAAAAAAAAAAAGTAAAACTTATTTATTGTAATTTTTTTTTTTTTTTTGAGCTACTTAATAAATTGATTATTTTATCATAAATTGATTATTTTATCATAAATTTATTTACTTTTAATAACAATTAGTATAATATCAAAATGATTAATTTGATTATCACATGTACTAATTAATCAGTTATCAATGTTTTAATTTATCTTATCATTTTCAATTAAAATTAAAATTTTATTTTAGCTAAACAAAAATACACCATATAGTTGCTATTCAAATAGATCAATCATTCGAGAGTTGCAATTTTCGGTGATAATTGATGATCATCGAATACGTGGACAATTTATTGATTCATTACCATTTGCGGTTAAATTTTCAACCGAAAATATTGATTTTATTGTACAACCGGATGTTGATAAGGTTTATGATAAATAATTTAATTTAATAATTTTAATTAAAAATTAATCTGAAATATTTACACTTATTAGACAGAAAAATTCATTTAAATTTCAGGAAGTGTAAAAAAAAAAAAAAGAAAAATTTTTTTGAGGATAGTAAATGTGATAGCATTTTATGTTTGATTAATTTAATTTTGCAAACCTGAAATTAAAACGAAAAGAAATTTTTGATATTTTAAAATATATCATTGAAATAAATAATATTTATTACCTTGTGCTTAACTTTTGAATGAATAAATTAAGATTACTTTATAAAAGAGAAAAAAATTTTTCTTTAAGTACTTTTAACTCTTACAACTTTTAGCATCTAATTTAAATTTTCTCTTGTAAATATTAATTTTATATTTTAATTAATTTAAAAAATAATTTTATAGATGGATAATATAGTTGTGTTACTATATGGTCGTGCTCAATATGAACTTTCGGAGTGGAAATATACGGCACAGCTTCGGATTAAAACAGGAAGTGGTAAGTTTTTTTTTTTTTAAATGCAAACAGATGTCAACGCAATGAACGTAAACTTACGTGGTAACACTTACGCAAGCTTAGTTGCTTATTACGTAAAATTATTCTTACGTAAGATTGACTAAAGATTATCATAAGACTAATAATTGCTTTGTTTAATAAAACAAACTCACTTGCATTTTTAGTATTACAAAAAATAAATTTTACAAAATTGAAAAATTAAGATTTTAAATTTAGATTCTTTTAAAAGATTTTTCCATTTTTTTTTTTTTCAGCCGAGAAGCAACAAGGAGTACGTGTAGTGGACAAATTGCTTGTTGAATTTGGTAATCGAATACCGCCACTGTCATTAAATGTGACGGATACAAAAGTGAAACGAATTAAATTTGAAATGCGATTAATAAATAAGGTTAAAGTTCAAATGGTTAATTAATTTATTAATTAAAGTATAAGGTTAATTAATTTATTAATTAAAGTATAATGCATTTTTGAATTTTAATAATTTATAAAAATTTCATTTCAAACTATTTTTTTTTTTTCTTTCAAAATTACAAAAACATCAAGGGGCTACAGTTATATGAACAATTAATTAAATTTGAAATGCGATTAATAAATAAGGCAGAAGTTTAATTGTTAATTAATTTATTAATTAAACTATAATGCATTTTTGAATTTTGATAATTTATATAAAATTTTATTTCAAACTATTTTTAAATTCTTTTAAAATTACAAAAACATCAAAAGGTTATAGTTATATGAACAATTACCAACGTTTCAAAGTGGTGGCGATGTTATATTATTATTTGAAGAAAATGAAAAATTATACGTTGATAAAGCATTATTAGCTATACATTCTCGTTATATGGGTAATTAAAAAAATTTTAATTAAAATAATTAATATTCGATTTAAAAAAAAAAAAAAAATGCCAAAATTACATCTAAAATAATATTTAAAATATTTTGGAGTAAAATTTATATTAAAGAGTTTGAATTGTTGTTAAATTTGCTCAAAAGTTATTAATTTATTACTGTTATAAAAAATAAACATTGATAATTGAGCAATTTATTAATTAATTGTTTGGTAGATTTGTACGTCAATTATTTTAATTAATTTAATTATTTATATAAAATTATATAAAAAATAATTTAATTAATTATATTATATTAATCATTAATTTAAATTATCCCTTAATTTTTTAATATGAAATGCTAATTTGATATATTCTTTAGCTTTAGCAGTGATTATTTTAAATTTCAAACTCCAAAATTTATTTCTTTTTTCCTCAAAATTAACTCCAAAATTAAAATTAACTCATAATTAAAAAAAAATTTTTTTTTTTTAATTATTAAAAACCAAAAATTTTAAATTGTTGAAAGAAATTAAATTGAAATTTGTTTTTTTTCTTCTTTTTCTAGCATCAATGCTTCATGATGCTGCACCAAATGCTATCATTGATATGTGCTTATTTGATCGAAATGACTTCTTGGAATTACTTTATCAAATTTATGCTACTAATCGACCAATTTCCGCCAATCTTTTTGCGCTTTCACGAGCAGCGATAAGTTATAAAGCTGATATAATCCTTGCTAGAATCACCAAATTTATATCTAATCTTGATGTTAGCATATTAATTTAACATTGATCATTTTATATTGTTTAGTTTAATTGGCTAAGATTATTTATATGGCTGATCAAATATAGCCTGATCAGATGAGTTGATCAATGAAATAGTTTGATAGATTGACTGATAATTTCTATAGTCTGATCAGATGAGTTGATCAAATGAAATAGTTTGATAGATTGACTGATAATTTCTATAGCCTGATCAAATGAGTTGATCAAATGAAATAGTTTGATAGATTGACTGATAATTTCTATAGCCTGATCAGATGAGTTGATCAAATGAAATAGTTTGATAGATTGACTGATAATTTCTATAGCCTGATCAGATGAGTTGATCAAATGAAATAGTTTGATATAGTTTGATAGATTGACTGATAATTTCTATAGCCTGATCAGATGAGTTGATCAAATGAAATAGTTTGATAGAGTCTGATCAGATGGGTTGATCAAATGAAATAGTTTGATAGATTGACTGATAATTTCTATAGCCTGATCAAATGAAATAGTTTGATAAGTGACTTACAATCCGTATTGGGATGAATGGATTTTACATCAAGAATAGACATTTTACTAATATCAAAAGTGTGATATCCGGTTTTCCGTTTCTTCACTGCAATATATTTCCTGTTAACTTATTACATTTCCAACCGATCAACTAATATTAATCATTTTAATTAATTGCTAATGTTTGAATTAAAAATTTTTATTTACTTATTCAATAATATAAACTTTTTTCTGTTTCATTTTCAGATGGATATAATATCCAAATTTCAATTATCAATTCAATTAGAATTGGATAATACACTTATCGAATTAGTTTATGATGCCGAACAGAGAGGTCAATGAATATTATTGTTTTTTTTTTTTTTTTGCTTGAATAGCAATTATAAAATAGAAAAAGAAAATTTAAATTTAAAAAAAAAAAAACACAAATAAAAATTATAGGTATATGGAGAGAATTAATTGAACAAGGATTTGAACCAAAATCTCTTGGTACTGAAATTTATCATCGTATTATCTGTCCAGCAATTATTAAAGTACATTTAGCATTTAGCTTTTCTATTTTTAATTTCTAAAATTTATTTAAATATTATTTATTGTCATTTAAATTTTACATATTAATTAATTAAAATGAAAAAAAAAATTTTATAAAAATTATTAAATTATAGGCACGACAGCATCGTTTAGGTGCTAATCCTTACATTTCACATTTACAATTTAATTTTCATATGCAACAATATCCATATACAGTACCATTATTAATACCAGGTCAAACATTGTATGTAAATAGAGGAATATTATCATTGTATAATATTAATATTTATGATGATTTAGAAGGTAAATTATTATTTAAAAAAAAACTTTAGCATTTTAAACATATTATTTAAATTATTATTATTATTTATTAAATTTTTCATTCATTTTGAAAGATTTCAAAAAATAACTTTAGCATTTTATAATAGTATCTAAAATCATCAATTTATTTATTTATTTTTTTTTTTAATAAATAAAATTTAATTTTAATTTTATTTTAAATGCTTGCACTTTTTTTTTTTTTTTTTTTTTATAGATGGATATTTTTTACGAATAACATCAAAATTGATGACATCTTGCACAAATGCAGGTATTACTATAACAGATTTAATTTTAAAAATGCTACAATATATGTATCCTAGTCAAACAGTTGTCCCAGGGCCTTATATTAGGCCAATGATGTTATTGGCCGAGGAACATGGAATGAAACGATTGTTGAACAATTTATGCGAGGTTATTTGCGCAGCATTTTTGTCAAATGTCATAAATATTATTTGCATAAAAAAAAAAAGATTCAAGAATGTCTTCATGGCATTTTTAGTATAAATATATTTTCTATTAAAATTTAACTATTACAAATTTATCTAATAAATGAGACATTTATTTAAAAATATTAAAATGAATTTCTTGCGCTAAAATTTAAATAGTCAAATCAAATAAACTTAGATTCGACTAGTTTAAATTTATGGAAATTGTTTTAAAATTCAAAATTTAAGCAATCAAATCAAATGAATTTGTTAGATCGAAATAAATTTGAATTTATGGGAATTGTTTTGAAGTTTAAAATTTTAATAATTAAATCAAATAAATTTGAATTTATGAAAATTGATTAAAATTTTTATCATTAAATCTAATCATTATATATTGTCATCGAAGATGCTTGCACTTGAGCCAACATTATCACCAACAACAATGCTTGAACATTTTGAACTTGCAAATCGTTATCATCATTTAAATTTATTAAATGCAAATCTTATACGCATGGAAGGAAGGTAAATATTTCAACTTTATTAAATTTAAATTTAAATTTAAATAGTAGGAAAAAAAATTCATTCATTTTTTTTTTCCATTTTTTCTTTTAGTTTCAAACGAAAAGTTGGTGAAATGGTTGCATTAGAGAAATTTGATGAATTACCAGATGAAATTCAACAACAAATTTTGGATCGATTATATTCTGGATGGGCATTAAATGATCAACGTTTAGCAAAGTAATTTTTTTTTTTTTATAAATTTAAATTTTCCTTTTTTTTTTGGTGCAAAAAGAGAAAAAAGAAAGAAAAAAATGAAACAAACAAAATAGTTTAAAATTTTATTTTAGTTGAAAAATTATTATAGAATTAATCAATAATGCTATCTTTTAATATATCATTTATATAAAATTTTATTTTTGTTCTTTTTTTTTTAAATTTATATTTCTTTAATAGTGTACCAACTACAAATATGGAAAGAACAATAACATTAAATAGCGGTGGATCAAAGCCAAATGAATATGAAAACGATCCAAATTTGCTAACTTTTCAAGGTATGAAAACAGCAGATGCATTTGGTTCTATGGAAGAAATAAATATTACGGATGCTTAAAATTTTTATAATTATTATTTTATTCTGAAATTAAATTTGATATAATATAATGCTTGTTTATATGAAATAAACAATTTTTTTTTTCCTTTATTTTATTGTTGAGAGAAATTAGAAGCTAATTAGAAGCTAAAAGATAGCTAATTAAATCAAAAATAATTAATTGTATTTATTTGTCTGTAAATTTGTTAATCGTTAATTTTTATTTTATTTCAACATTTAATTTTATATATAAAGCAATGAAATAAAACGATATTTTAGGTTTTTTTTTTTTTCCAATAATTTAAATGTTGAAATAATAATTAAATTTGTTGTTGTCGGTCGATGTTTTCACTTATTTCATTTATTCGTTCTCTTTCTGGAAAAGAAATTTTTTTTTTAACAAAATGTTGCAGAAATCAATCAAATCATTCCGGCATTCATTCAGGAATGCCGGAACTGATCAGGAATATATATTATGGTGCAATTGTACTAAATATTTTAAAAGATATAAATATATGAGCATTTTGTAAAATTCAATTTATTTCAAATTATCTTCCTGATTTAAAATTTTTGATTCCATAATTGATCAAAAATTTTTGTACAAGTGCTTTTCTTTTTTATTTTTCTTCACCTTACTCTTTTTTTTTTTTTTTTGAAATTTAAAAATCTTTTTAATTATGAAATAATTTTGCATTCTCAATTTTTACTTAATACTATTAAAATTTAAATTTAAATTTGAAAAAAAAAGAATGTCAATTTTGTATCGTTTCAAATACATTTTAAACTTTCTGTTCTTTTTGTAATACTTGAAAAACTAATTTTTTTAAAGTTTTATTTTTGACTCGATAATGAGTACTCGTATTTTTTTTTTTTTTGTTTTAAAATAAAGTATAGATGATCGATGAATGCACTGATATAATGAATTGACTTATAAGTACTCACTTTTTTTTTTCAAGAAATAAAAGAAATCTCTAAAATCTTCTAGAAAATTCATCAGATAAATTAAACTTACATCTTTTGATTGCTTTTTTTCTTTTCGAGAATCCAATGTGTCACTATTCGATGATTCAGATTCATCATCTGCAACAGCAATTACCGCATTTGATGCTAATTTTGTTAACTTTTCGGCTGGCTTTAACTCTTCATTTTTTGATAATGGCAATACGGATAATGTCTGAGTTGTTGATTTTACCGGTTTCACATCACCAGTTAAGTTAATCATTTCTGATTTTAGCGATTCGCTTGCAACTTTTAATGATGTGGTTTCTGTTTCCGGTAGAGATGGTGTAGCTAAAACTTTCATTCCTAATTTCTTAGTGGATTCGGTTGATGATAATGCTGATGAGATCAGCAAATCATCAGTCTCTGATTTTCCGGAAGGTTTAAGTGATTTCGATGATTGAGTCGGAATTTTGATTTCTGGCACTGTAATCTGTTTTTTTCGTGGCATTAGTACTACAGATGCCTGTTGCGCTTCTGGTGTTGCTATGGATTCTTCTGATGGCGGTGATTTTGCAGATGATTGCTGCGTTTTTTGTGTTTTTATTGATTCTTTTGGCGCGAATGATTTTGCAGGTAGTTGTGGCGCTTCTGGTTTTGTGATGGAATCTTCTGATGGCTGTAGTTCTTCAGATGACTGTTGCGTTTCCTGCACTTTTGTTGGTTCTTTTGACGCCAGTGATATTGCAGGTGGTTGTGGCGCTTCTGGTTTTGTGATGGAATCTTCTGATGGCTGTAGTTCTTCAGATGACTGTTGCGTTTCCTGCACTTTTGTTGGAGTTCTGTTTTCTCAGATGATTGCTGCGTTTCCTGCATTTTTATTGGCTCTTTTGACGCCAGCGATGTTGCAGGTGGTTGTGGCGCTTCTGGTTTTGTGATGGATTCTTCTGATGGCTGTAGTTCTTCAGATGACTGTTGCGTTTCCTGCACTTTTGTTGGTTCTTTTGACGCCAGTGATGTTGCAGGTGGTTGTGGCGCTTCTGTTTTCTCAGATGATTGCTGCGTTTCCTGCATTTTTATTGGCTCTTTTGACGCCAGCGATGTTGCAGGTGGTTGTGGCGCTTCTGTTTTCTCAGATGATTGCTGCGTTTCCTGCATTTTTATTGGCTCTTTTGACGCCAGTGATGTTGCAGGTGGTTGTGGCGCTTCTGTTTTCTCAGATGATTGCTGCGTTTCCTGCATTTTTATCGGTTCTTTTGAAGCCAGTGATGTTGCAGGTGGTTGTGGCGCTTCTGGTTTTGTGATGGATTCTTCTGATGGCTCTAGTTCTTCAGATGATTGCTGCGTTTCCTGCACTTTTACTGGTTCTTTTGACACCATTGATATTGCAGGTGGTTGTGGCGCTTCTGGTTTTGTGATGGATTCTTCTGATGGCTCTAGTTCTTCAGATGATTGCTGCGTTTCCTGCACTTTTACTGGTTCTTTTGACGCCAGTGATATTGCAAGTGCTTGTTGCGCTTTTGATTTTATGACTGATTCTTCTAGTTTTTCAGATGATTGTTGCGTTTCTTGTATTGCTATGAGTTCTTTTGGCGCAACTGATACTACAGGTGCCTGTTGCGCTTCTGGTGTTGTGATAGATTCTTCTGATGGCGGTGATTTTGCAGATGATTGCTGCGTTTCCTGCACTTTTATTAGTTCTTTTAACGCCATTGATATTGCAGGTGGTTGTTGCGCTTCTGCTTTCATAGTAGATTTTTCTGATGGCGGTGATATTTCTGGTGCTATTACTGGTGGCATCGGTACTGTTTCTACTGCTGGTTGCTGTATTTTAGGTATTGCTACAGGTTCTTTTGATGGTGGCACCGATGGTGACAAGACTAATAGAGTTGGTTGCTGTGAAGTAATTTCATTCGATTTTACTGGTGATTTTATGCTTAAATCAGAATCTGATTCTATCTCTGATTCCTTTGATTGAATGCTCAATTCAGTTTTACGCTCTTCCATTACTTTTAACTTTTCAGATTTATCTTGTTCTAGTGATTTGATCTTCTTCCGACCAAGTTTTTTAGCTTTTTTCATCAAATGATCAGAGGGTAACTTTGTTGTCGTCTTTAAAGGTAAAAATTTTCGATCGGAATCAGTTGTAACTTGACCGGAATCAGCTGTAACTTCTTTCATTCCTTTTTTTTCAGATTCGGTTGTATAACGTGTGATATCATCAGCGCATTCTGTTCGATCAATCTCTTTTGTCTCCTAGAAATAAAAAAAAAAAAAAAAAAGTGCAATGGCATAGTTATTAAAATTCAAAAAATTTATTGTCCAACTGAAGATTAGTTATGTTAAATTCTAAAATTTGAAATTTCACAGGGCAAAAACTTCATGCAATCTCGAAGTTGATTTTTGAATGCAATCTCGAAGTTAACAGTGATGCAGTACTATCGATAACATTTCAGGAATCGGACATTTACCATTGATAGGAAGAAAAGTTCAAGTTATCATTCGTTTAAAATGACTTATATCGTCTTAATCCTTCATTTAAAATTCACACATTCACAGTGTCACCTCTATACATTCCGTAGCTTTTTCTATTTCGTCATCAGTTTTTCTTTCTTCTTCCGGAATATCATCCGAAAATTTCCGCTCTTCCATGTCCTTTGATTCCTTTGATAAACTTCGACGAGGTTTTGCTAAAAAAAAAAAAAAAAAAAGAATCAGACTAAAAATTGTTAATTTGAAATTGTTACTGCTCGTTTCACTTTTAATGAATGCGTAAAAATTTTACAAATTTTTTTCAAAAAAAAAAAATGGATGAGTAATCGATTTCCTATTAGATATACAAATCAATTTTAATGATTATCTTCGATTATTATCAATTATATTTTCTATTTTTGTTGCCATACATTTTGTTTTTTTCATTTTCTCAAAAACACAATTTTAAATTTGAGTCAAAAACAATTTTGCATGCAGAAATTGAACACAAATTTAAACTATGGAACTCTTTTTTTAAACTTAATTTTAAAAAATTGTTAAATTACTAAACTTAATTAACTATGCTACCTGAATTTCTAATACTTTCTAATTTCTTTCCTTTGTTTGAACCAAGAGGAGCACTTCTAGTGACATAATTAATTTTAAATTTTAAACCTGCTGATCGCTTCACTTGTTTTTTAGATGTTTTATATTCTTTTCGCTTCTTTTCCTTCAATTTTTCTTTTTGCTGCTTTTTTTTTGTTTTTTCAAATTTTTGTTCAGCTTCATCCTCGGCAACTAATTCATTAGCATCCTCTTCAGTTATCTGAAACTATCGGTTGACACAACAGTAGCAATTAATAATGCTATCATCAATTTAAAAAAAAAAAACAAAAAAATTATGGAGTATAAAATTATAACATAAGCTAACAGTATTAGCAATAGGAAAAATTAATAAGTAATATTAAATTTTAAATTTGAACATAACAATATGATATATATTACTTTATATTAAAATGATTTCTCTACAAGAAATAATTGCTTATCAGTATAAACTAACTTGATACTTATTGAAAATTAATTTAATTAATTAGCAAATGACATAGGATAGAATTAAACTGAAAATTTATGAGTGAATCTTTTGAATTTAGCATTTATAGTTTAACACATAATGTTTAACATTATAATATATTATTATATATTATATTAATTAAATTTAGATGATTATAAAATTTATTTTGTTTATTTTATCAATCAATTAACATATCAACTAACATCCGGTTTTAACATCATGGATGTTTGTGTTGGAACATCCGGTTTTAGCATAACTGGTGAACAGACGGAACTAGTCAAAGGAGAAGATAACATTGAAGAATTTGAACCACTCGATGAAGTTGGCGTTGTTGTTTTTTCTGTTGTTGTTGTTGTTGTTGTTTTGGTTTCAGTTTTTGTTGGTTGCAAATCTTGCTTCCATTTAATTTTACTACGCATTCTGCTATGTGCCGGTCTTCGTTCTACTTCAACCTCCTCAAATTCCGTTTTATCATTTTCATCATCATGTTTTGTTGATTTTCTTAAAAGAAATAAATCAATATATTATATTAAATAATCATCATAATTCATATCATTAGCTAATAGATAATAATGATTATCAGTTATAACGAGTTAATAGATAATAATGATTATCAGTTATAACGAGTTAATAGATAATAATGATTATCAGTTATAACGAGTTAATAGATAATAATGATTATCAGTTATAACGAGTTAATAGATAATAATGATTATCAGTTATAACGAGTTAATAGATAATAATGATTATCAGTTATAACGAGTTAATAGATAATAATGATTATCAGTTATAACGAGTTAATAGATAATAATGATTATCAGTTATAACTGTAACAGAAAAACAAAAATCATAAATTTTTGCAAGTTATTTAAAATATCTCGAATATAATTTAATATTTTGCCACATAAAAGATTCATAAAAATAGAAAGTAGTAATGTAAAACATTTGTTATTTAACAAAGCGAAAAATTTAATTAATTTATAAACTATTTTATGAAAAAAAAATTTTTTTCATTCGTCTTTTCTGCACTTAAAATAATTTACCTTCGTTGTGCTTTTCGCCAATTTTTTCGTTTATGTTTATCTCTAAAAAAAAAAAAAGAATATATTATAAGTCGAATATTTAATTTTTAATCTCTTTGATGTAAAAATTTCCTTCTCTGTCTTCAAAAAAAAATAAATAAATAAATAATATGTAAACATAGATGTGAATAAGCGTTTGGTTATTTTATGAATTACTTAATGAATGAATAATAAATTTACTGTCAACTTTTAATTTGGAAAAAAAAAGATATTTAGTGACAGTTTTTTTTTAATTACTTAATAATGACATTTTCTTAGTGCTACCTGTTTTATTCTGAAATTAATAGTAATTTAAAAAGTGAGACAAACTGCACTTAAAAAGTATAATTATCAAATTCTAAGGAATTCAGTTGTAAATCAAAAAACGGAAACTTTTAAAAAGTAATTTAAATTTAGTTTTTAAATGTAATTATTGAAATTCATATTAAATCAAATACATTTTTAACGATTAATCTGATTGAAATAAAAACTAAAACATTAAGCTATAAAAAAAAAAGTAGGACGATGAGAAAAATAATTTAAAAGATGAGCGATATCTAACGTAGAGTTTAACTTTTAAATTAATTGTTAAGATAGAAGATGAGAAATATTTGAAATTAATTGTAAATTTACATATTACAGAGATTATAGCATAATTTAAACTTTAAAAAATATCATAAAAATGTCAACATATTAAGTAAAATTTATATACCTTGATCGACTTTTTTTAGATTTACTTTTGCTTTCTGAAACAATCGATATTTTATTAACAAAAAGATAACAAAAGAATGTTATTACATTTTATGAATGAATTTATTTCATATCTTTCTAGAAATATTCAATTAATGATAGATTAATTATTTCCAATTCTCTCTTCTAGATCATAAATTCAGAGTAAAATTCATGCAAACTACTTTTTTTTCTAAGTTTTCCTCCTATAATTTATTTGTATGTTTTTTTTTTTTTTAAATTGATTTTAAGAATTTTTAAAATTGATTTTTAGATAAAATACTAACTGTTTTAGGGGAAACAGTAATTGACAATATCAAAATATTAAGAAAAATTTGAAATGAATATGTAGATATGATAGAATTCAAATGCAAAATAAATCTAATTGATGTCAATTTAACATATAATTTAAATTTAATCATTTTCATTCAAATCTTTTCAAAATTTTCAAATTTATTCACTTAAAAAAATTTTTTTTTTCGTATTACAGCAAAGAGTCAAAATAAAATTAATTAATTTTTATAAATTTTAATTCTCATTTAGAATTGATAATTTCAAGTGTTTCAATGTTTTTTCAATTTCAGAATACTTACTGCGAAAGGGCCGCATTAAAACAATTGAAAATTCGATTTGAAACTTTGACTCACTCTGAATTAACAACCACTTATTATACATTTAAAATTTGCAAATGAGGAATTGTGATGATTGTGACAATTTATATTAATTAATTCCAGTAATGAATAATATATATTTCATGCATTATAAGTAATTTCACTTACAGATTTCAATTCTATTCCATTCCATTTCATTCCATTTAATTTAATTTAATCTAATTTTATTTTATTTCATTTCGTTTGATTCCATTTCATTTCATTTCAGGTTCAATGGAAACCAAATGACGATATGTGACACTGACTGATCGAATATTTTATTCCTTCAAATCTGTTCATTCTCAACCGACTTACTACTATTTCTTGAATGATTGAGTGTATTAATTTTTGGATGTAATATGTTCGATGTTTAATTGGTACTTCATTTCAGAATATCTATTAATTAACCTATGACCTCGGAACATATAATACACATGTTTATTGATTCATTCATTTACCTTACCTAGCAACTGAAAATTCCATCTCAGTGAAAGAAGAATATTTTGTAGGAATGTCATGAATTTAAGGAAGCAATTAGTTTGTGTGCTTTAGGACAAAGAAGATTCCAGCTGTGAGTGTAAATGTTTTAGAGGATGATGTCACGTATTGAATTAGGTAAAACGTGTTTTAGAGGATGATGTCACGTATTACGCTTCTTTCCTGTGTTATATGAGCATGAATAAATGTAATCTGAACAGTTACTAAAGTTATACTTATTTGTACATTCATGACTTGACGCTTTTGCATGATTTTAATGTTAAGAAATGTGGTATAAGTAATGTTAAAAAATTGTTTTTAACATGTCAATTATATAGACTTGTTATACACTTTCATATCAATTCTACCTTATTTACCTTTCTTGGTGTTTGATCTGTGTAAATCTTTTAATTTTCTGCTTTTGCTCATTATTTTGCTCAGTACCAATGTCTGAATTAAATTTATTATTCTTATATTATTAAGATCTTATTTACATTGGTTTAGGTATATTACTTAGTTCATATTAGATATTCTTCATTTATTTCATTTCAATTCTCACTTATTTCAGCTTATTGATATATATTTTAGCATATTTAGGTCCATATTAACTACGTATGAGTATCACTTGATTATTATATAATAAGTATCCCTTAGCTACTGAAATTCATGAGCTAATATATATATTATTTTCTTTGTATTCGTTTATATTACGTAACATTGCGTTGTTTTATTCAGTTTTTTTTTTTTTTCTTTCGGCATTCAGTTATTAATCATTTCAGTAATACTAAAAAGTGATATACAAAATCGCCAAATATGGGTGTACAGCTGGATCAACCCTTGTTCGATTTACCCGAAGTGTTCGATAATCGTAGTGGTTGGGGACCTGTTGGAACGTTGGATAAATTTCAGAATTTACCCTACCAACAATTCAATAAAGCCGATAAAATTGGCAAAGTAGCGGATTGGATCGGTGTAACGCAATATAATGATCGATTCAGACGTGAGTTTTTATAGATTACTTTGATTCTACTCGACAGGACGTATTATTCGTTTTGTTGAGTGGCAAGATTTGTAGGTATCCAGATAGCAAATAAATTGAAGAAATTTTGGATAATTGGCAACAGATCATCCGGAATCTCACATTTTAATGCAGCTCCACAGTTGATTAATTATATTCAGTTTGATTTTTACCAATTGAAATGCATGAAATTCTGAGCTAAAGTTATAGTTACACCAGCACAAAAATATCTGATAGATCGAATTTCAGCATCGAAAAGTTTAATGTCTTAATCTGTATTAATTTTAGGAGATGGTCGATACGGTAATCCATATACATCTGGTGCTGTTGGTTCGCAGTATGATTATGTTCACGACGAGGAAGATGCGACATTTCAGCTTGTTGATACAAGTAAACCCCAACGATCGAACATGCAGAAGAGTGGTCGTATGCGACAACAGCAACAGTTCTATGTAAGATTGGTTTCCTTTCTTTCTATTTGAGTAAATACGCAGTTGGCTTAAAATTGCCGAAATCTTTTTGAAATAATCAATTAAAGAGAGAAGTTTTGCAAGGTCATTTTCTCTTATAAATTATTTAATGTAAAATTTTATTGTAACGAGTCATTCAGTCAACTGATTTTAGCGTTCAGTCGAACTTCTGCATTGACTTTTTAAGACTATAGTTGATGATACCACCATAACTATCTGATTTTTATGCATGAGTACCTGATTGATTTATCTAATAATAAATAAGGAATGTTTACTTTCAAAATGAATAAGAATGTTATACTCATTAGCTCTCTCAATTTTTTGCATAAATTCTTGCGTTGTTTACAGCGAAGATTGGTTCAAAAAGAAAATGAACGAAGAAATCAAGCAAATTATGGGCAAAATCAAAAGATTAAGCGTAGCATTGCAAAGTAAGTTGGAATGGAACGGTTTATCTTTTTCTTTTTTTATTACAAAAATTCTTTATACTGACATTATGATTTTTTAAGAGAGCAGCAGAAAGCATTCAAGCAATGGCAACGACGTGGAGGTGGCACACGTGGTCGTGGTCGTGGTGGACAAGGTTATAGTCGGTGGGACCAACGTAATCAAAAGCAATTAGCTGCAAGTATTGCTGTACGCCCTGAATGGCAAGTTTTGGAAGAAATGGATTTCCCACGTCTTGCAAAACTTAATCTACCAAATATTGATTCAGGCCAAGATATGTATGTTTTGGTAAATTTATCGTTCTAACAACCCAAATGATAATGTAAAGAAACTCATGTGATTGCGAAAAAAATCTGCTTGAAATGAGTTTGCCAAAAGAGATCAAATTTTGATGATTTTGCAGTTGCACACTTTTTTTCAGAAATGGCCATCGTTATGGTCAGCTTTATTATTACGATAAAGCATTTGATCGTGTTACGGTGCGAACGGAGAAACCGTTACAGCGTTGTGGTGGTACATTTTATAATTTAACAACAACTGAAGACCCTATAATTCAGAAGGTTAATTACTTAAGTTTCCTTCCTCAAATGCTTATGTTTTTCATTGGAAATCAAAATCAAATCAAGACCATATTGTTTTGTTTTGTTTTTTTTTTTTTTTTTTTTTTTTTTAATCAAAAACAGGTTTCGTTTCAGTTAGCTCATGAAAATGCTGGGAATGTTTTCGCAACAGATATGATATTGGCAACACTGATGGCGGCTACGCGATCAGTGTATAGTTGGGATGTTATCGCGTATCGTGTTGGTGATAAGTTGTTCTTTGATAAGCGCGATACGGGTGGTTTTTCGAATCCAGTTGGTATGTGTGCTTACCTTGCTCCTTGATAATTTCACCTAATAAATGCTCTCTAAACCATTAGATGATATTCGGAAGATAATTGTTTATGCTTACTCTTCTAAAATATCCTGTGAAAGCAATATGGAGCAATTTTTTGACTAAATCTAATCTATTCCTAGTGGATAAGCATGAGTATTTGCTCGGTTAAGCAAATGACTACCAGAAAACTACCTATTTTATCTACCAGATTTTAGTGCTTTTACTTTTAGATGCTTTAACCGTGAGCGAAACCTCACCAGATGCTCCAAATAGTGACGATACCACAAGTATTAATCATCCACGTAATCTTGCTACGGAAGCTCTCTACATAAATCAAAATTTTCGTCGTATGGTACTCAAAAGAGTAAGTTTATGATACATTGAAGACATTCATTTTTACAAGTAACATTTCTATAAGTAATATGGGTACTAATATTGAAATTTTACTGTACTGATTTTCAATCGAACTTTAGAACGAGGAACCGTTCAAATATGATAATCCACGTCTTCCATTCGATGAAGGTGATACGGATGCTGATTCATGCGTTGCATACAAGTTAGTTTTGTGCAATTTCTGGATATTAATCTGCTGATATTTCATTGTCGACATTTCATCACTAAAACATTGACTTTATTGTCGAAATTCTATATTTATAAATATTTTGACAGAAATTCAAGATACTATTGTTTTTAAAACTTGAAATGATGCATTCATTTTATACTTATTGGTTAAATCATTTACTCCTTATACACTTACTTGAAAGTTCTGAAAGAATCCGCTGCTTCCCAGGGTGTTTTTAATTAAAGCAAATCTAATCAATTTGTGCTTGTACTAATCTTGTTTTATTAAGATTTTATTGTTTTATTAATTTCATAGAGTTAGCTGAATATAGTAGATGAGTTATGGATTGGAGCTTAAGAAATATAAATGTGTCGAAACACTGTCATTAACGAAAATTTGATATTTATTGATATCACCTATAAAAATATTTGTAATGAATTAAAGATATCGTTCGTGGTATTTGGGACGTCAAGCAGATGGTACGGAAGTTCGTCTAATTTGTCGTACGGAACATGATGGCGTTACTACAGGACCAAACGGCGAAACACAAATGTTGACTATAAAAGCATTCAATGAATGGGATTCAAGGGTTTAAATTTAATTTGAGTTACATGCACGATAATAATCAAAATTGAAACAATAGAACTTGAATAATCATAATGAAATATGAAATAGAAAGAAGTGATGAGTATGCAGTGTTGATAATGTAATTGTCGAAAGAAATACGTTGGTTAAAAATTAAATTCCAGATGGCCAGTGGTGTTGACTGGAGAAGTAAGTTGGACACGCAAAAAGGTGCAGTACTTGCTACAGAACTGCAAAATAATAGTTGCAAATTAGCCAAATGGACATTACAAGCACTTTTGGCTGGTTCAGACCAAATTAAATTTGGGTTCGTTTCTACTTTTTTGGAATGGAATTTCAGAAACTGGGAACAGTATATTGAAATTTCGGCTATAAGCTTTTAAGAGGTGTAGGAACGACTAGTTTGACGTGTAAGTGTAAGTTGTAAAGTGTTGGTGCTAAAATTTTCGCTGTAGTAAAAGTTCTTACATTTTGGGTCAATGAAAGTTTTTTTACTAATTCTTCGATAATCGGACAGGTTTACATTTCCGACTGTCTTTTTTTTTCTTTTTTTCGGTTTTTTTACATTTCTGTTGCTATTGGAAATTTAAATTTAATTTCGGAATTTCTTTTTAGATACGTTTCACGTCTAAGCATACGCAACAGTGCTAGTCATGTCATTCTGGGTACTCAACAATATAAACCAACTGAATTTGCGACAAATATTACATTGAATTTGGATAACGCTTGGGGCATTTTGCGCTGTATCATTGATCACTGCATGAAACAGCCACCGGGAAAATATCTTTTGCTAAAAGATCCAAACAAGGTTCGAGTTTTGTCTTTTTAGCTGTCGTGGATTGAACTGGGAAGAGAATAGTGGTAGTTTTTAGGCAGTATTCCAGCGTTAAGTAACAAATATAAATTCTTGCGACTACAAAAAAAATGTAATCCCTACGATTTCATTTATCTCAGTCAATAATTAGTCTACTTTCACCACTTTTTATATTTGGTTAAGGATAAAGGTAATAAAGGTAAGGTTTGTATCTTTTTTTTTTTTCTGATGTTTGTGATCAAATACTCATCTTGGTTTTATAAGAGTCATGTCTGTGAATTATAAGGTCGACTTTTCAGTACTCTCCATTTCAGCTGTACCAATAGAGTAATTTGAATAATCTTTTTCAGCAAGCAGTACGACTTTATTCATTGCCTGAAGGAACGTTCGAATCCAGTACTGAAGAAGAAAGCAGTAGTTCGGGTGATGACAATTCAGATGATGATGTTTAGATTCAGACAGAATCTGGGAATTGTTAAAAACCTGGAGAAATTGTGAAATATCGATTAGCTTAGATTTTTATGATTCAAGTTTTCTTGATATTTTATGTGTTTTTCATGTCTTTGTTCACATTTTGACATGATTCATTATCGCAGTTGTGAAATTTCTGTTTAAGAAAAATATAGATTTTTAAAATCTGAAGTTTGTTCTGTTTTATGGATTATAAGTTAATACTGCATTGCAATTTTAAATGTTAAGATTTTCTTCTTCTTTATCCTGACTGAAGATTTTTTAGATTCACTAGGATTTCTCGAATCTCTTTATGGATTTTAGGATGAATAGGGGAAATTTTTTTTTATCCTTTCGTTTTCCTATGATTTTTTTTATCCTTTCGTTTTCCTATGAGTATTTGTTACTGTTATGTTGTTGCTGTATTGCTCTAATTTGTTAAAAATGACGGTGAATCACTTTAATGAAATGGGAAAACTATCGTACGGTAGTACTTCCAACATGCAATGATTCAAGCGGAAACAATCCAAAATGAGAAGACTGAAAATATTTTCATTATTATATTATGATCGGTCATCAGATACGAAATATTGAATAAACAAGTGAAAATGATAGCATAACGATGAAAAAGTCGGACCATAAAGAAGAAAAAAGTGCCTAAAAAGTTGATATTCTTGTAATTTCGCTAAAGAAATTACATTTCTGGTATAAATGTGAGTCAATTTGCATATGTGAAAGGAGGATATTTATGAATAATATACCGTTTATGAAAGATTTTGTTGCCTTTTTAGCACATGTTCAATAAACTTTTTATAAAATCTCTTCAAAACTGTAATTCCTTATGCGAAATTTCAAAACTATTTTTGACCTGTTGTATTCAGAGTGTAAATTAGCTTAGTCATCATTTTGCACTTTGCAATCTTTCAGTCAAATATTTGGAATGGTAGTAAAATCTTTTCAGGAATAGTTTTAAAAATAACATCCTTTTGCTTCATTCCTCCATCTCTTCTCCTTCTTTCTTCCCTTCTTCCCTCTCCCCTGGAAAGAAAGAAAAGTTGTGGCGTAGCGAGATATGGTATCTGGTCTGTACTGATATGAGTTGTTTTTTGTTTTTTTATTTTTTGGCTAGAAGTATTGGTTATGCTAAATGATTGCAATACTTTGTCTTGATAATCTAATAGCGAATCGTGAAATTCTCTCTAAACTGAAATATTATTTTATTATTCAACGAATTCGATTTTTTTTTTTCTTTTTTCAAACATAATTATTAGTGCATCTTTTATTTAAACAATTGCTTTTATTCATACTATTGCTGAAAAATCTTTGACGTTACTTTATATATGTTACATTGTTATTATCATTATTATTATTATTTTGCATTCTTGTTACTTAATTTCAGGTTGTTTAAAATTAGTTGATGATTGTTAAATGGTGGAATAATTTGATTTTTAGTTTCAGATTTGGTTCCTTTTTAAAAGTACGTTAAACGGAAGTACTGATATGCAAGCAGTATTAGCATTGTGTTACTTCTGTGAAACTCATGGTCCTCGAGTATTGATGACAACACAATCGATTCCCGAGAATCTGCGGCAGGATTATTGTTTACCAACTACTAGTAAAGGATCTCCAACGTTTATCTCGGCTGGTTAGCTTGTCATTTTCCAATTTGCAAATATTTCGTGTGGAAATAAACTTAAAAACATTGAACTCTAAGTCTTTTAAAATTTTTTAACGTTCTTTATATATGTTCTTCTAGTTCATTACAGATTCTTTTTGATGTTCAAATTGCAAAATACAATTTTTCTTTTCTTGTTTATAAAAAGGAATGAGCAACTTTTTTTGAAAGGCATAAACACAAAGATAACGGCATAACTTGCACGAATAAATAACGTAGCAAAGATGAAATATATATTAAGGATTTGCATATTTTTAATTTGCAAGAGATGAAAAATGGGATTATGCTGCCTTTACCTTATTACATGTCAATCTAAGTAGCGGAAAAATTTTTGCAATCTCAAAATATAGATAAATGCTTAATTTTTTTGTTACTCTGTGTTATTGATGTGGTTTATTTTTCTTTTTTGGTTTAAGTGATTATACTCTATTTTACATTTACCATTTGTTATGAGCAGCGAAGTGATGTGACTTCTAATTTTATTTAGTTTAATCTCACTTTTTTTTTCAGAAAGTTTTCGTACTCATTTAACTGAAGAATTACGTTGTGTTGCATGTACATCGTTCGTTGATGGTACTGGTCTAATTACAGATGATGTTGAGGCTGGAATAAGCTATATTACTACACAGGTAATAGATTTCTCAGAAACGTCATAGTAATTGTACGTCCATACTTTTCATGTTTTATTGGCTAATGTTTAATCAATTCTAAAGAATAACACATTGTTAATTAGTTAATAAAGGATTTAAAAATTCAAATGTAATGCTTTGTGTCTAATTAAAGGTTTTGATTGGAGTGTCTAACTATTGTATTAGTTGTAGATGCTTTTTAAATACACATTTTAGGTTGCATTAAATGACCGAGTATATCAGTTGGTGAAATATTCGTGTCTTCATTCACTAAGTTGTGAAGTGACGGCCACTCCGAAAGATGAAGCGCCTATGAGTCCGATGAAATCACGTGCAGCATCGATACCGCTGGGCGCAAAAAAATGGGAAAGTCCATGGGAAAAAACAAATACGGAGGCGAAAGATGGTGTAATTTTATTCGGGGATGATGAACATGGCTATACATTATCTTATACGTTCAGGTTCTGCACAAACTGATAATATTTTCCTGAATTTTAATTTCGGAATTTGTCATTCTTCTCTTTTATTAGTCCAGATTTTATCTTTTAATTTCTTTCTGCACATTTGCTTTTATTGAAAAATTCTTCGTTATCACTTGTCATGGATAACACATAAAATACTAAAGAACGTAATGTTATAAATAAGTTGTAACAGTTCAAGTTTCTTGTTTAGTCAAATTTTAAATGAAATCTGTTCTCGTGAAATTTTTCTCATGTAAATGAAATTTGTTTGCTGTGATTCTGCATTTTTAATTCCAGATTACGTGATTACAAAGCACGCGGCTTTTTACGTCTTCTTTCACTTATCCTTGTATCTATAGATAAATTATTTATCACCAGCAATTATCACTTCTTTGTTTCAACAATGTCATCTGCTATTCGATTTTTGCAGGTTATGCTATGTTAAATAATATATTTATGAGTTATAAACTTATTTTTAATTTATTTACTTTGTCCGAAAATGAAGGATGGTTGGGCAGATTTATTTACGAAATTCCATGCACACTAAAATCTGGTGTGCAGATGTTATGTTTTCAGAAAATTCATTATAGAATCAGTGAATTGTAATGGTTTTTGTACGAATATCCCTTATTTATTTATTTTTTCTTTCAATTTATCTCAATTTTGAAAATGTTTAGATGGAATCGAATATGGTTTTTGACCGTGAACAAAATGATCCAACCAATGAAATGCTAAAGCAGGCTGCAGCATCACGTTCCTCACTACTACCAGCACATTTTTTGCGTGCTCATGTTACTAGCCTCGAATTGGATACATCACGAAGTTTAACTGTAATTACCGGTCGAACAGATATTTTCACACAGTTGCACATGTAAGACTTTTTTTTTTGGTAGTAGGATTCAAAGACTTGAAATAGCCGGACCAGACAAACTGTGTCTTTTTATCAAATCATTTATTTGCCCTATATTCCATTTTATCTATTCCATTTAACTATCTATTGGTAGTTGTTACTGATGAACAACTTTTTTTTTGGCTTTACCTTTGTCATATATGTAAAAGTATTCCATTACTTATTTAAATACCATAAATTCTGTTTGATAATTTTTATTATTTAATTTCTAGGTTTATGGTTTGTATATTGCGTACACAAACACGCCTCTGCAAAGAATATTTATTGGAAGGAGTGCCAACACAGGATATGCTTGTAATGAAAGAACGTGAATTAAAAGTTGATAATGGAACAAATGCTACTGATATAAGTTGTTCAAGACGTTTGGATTGTTTTCAAACATTGCGAAAAATTGCACATATGCTTGAAAGTTTGCCAAAAGTTAATGGTCAAAGTATCCTGGAAATTGTTTTAACACAATTGGTTACTGGTGGTCAGGTTATTTTGTATTTTATTTTCTGGAAAACATGAAAAATTGCTGAGTTGGTTCATAATTTCTAGTTGGCAAATGCAATATGGATTAAATATTTCTAAATTAATATATTTAGAGAAATTTTATTTCTTTATATGAAATTTTTTTTCCAGATTGTCTTGAAATGTCATAATGAAGTTATAGCTAAACGTTTTCTGCTTGCACTTTCCAGTCTATTACCATTGGGTTGTGTTCGTATGCTATATGCAGAGGAATATAGGCATGTCTTTGTGTAAGTATTGAATTGCTAACATTTTCTTATATACTATGTATTATTTATTATCTATTACTATTTATTTAACTATGAAACTATTTCTTTGCTACATGCAATGCAATAAAAGTTATTATTGTAAGTTTTTTAAAGAAAAATTTGAGTTACTACTGAAAAAAAAATTGTTCACACAAAACTTTTAAAAACTAAATTTTCAAGATTTTTAAAGTCAAACTTACTTATAGGTCGAATTTATTTGGATGTCCTCATGAGACCGTATTATCACCTGATGCAGTTGATATTGTGGTTTTATCGTTGGATATATCATTTGACAGAATTCATTCAAGGCAACCGACAATAGAGGAACGTGAAGCCTGTTCGCTTTCTTCAGGAAGCTGTATTTCACCTCCATTAAGCACTTCATCTAAGGATGATAATGTAAGAGGATTACTGCGATCATTTATCTCATTTAATATTGCATATGTTCTGGCTATAGCATAAATATTTGTTGAATGTATTCGTACATTTGTTGAAAAAAAAGTTAATAACGCAGCTTGTTAACCGTTTCTTTCATTATGTTTTAATATATTTGTTGTAATTTTTTCTGTATTTTGAAAAAAAAAAAACTTGATCTTTCTATCATTAATTAACATATTATCCTATCCTAATTGTCTCAACAATTTCTCATTCTTAAATTTGGCAAAATAAATTTGAATTTAATGAGATAAATTTTAAAAATTTTTGGAAAGAATTCTTTTTTGTAGATTGTTTTAATGATTTACTAACTAAATATTGGAGGTCGATGAAAGTTTGGCGAAACAGTTGATTGAAATTTTATCTCCCAGAAAGTCGCTTGATTTCGAAGATTATGCATTTACACTGATTGCATATCCGGAATGTACGGCACCAAGATATGGTACACCTGCTATTGTTAATCGCTATAAACAGCTCATATTAGGTAGGCATAGAAGCAACTTCTTCAGATATATTATTAATTACTATTATTAGTTGCTAAATTTGTATTATTAATTGTCGCATTTGTTAAGATGTGACTTTTCATTAATGTAATTAGATGATTTTATTTAAGGAATTTAACAAGATTATAGTTTTTTTTTTTTTTTTTTTTTTTTTTAAATAATTTTGGAATTAACATTAATCATTAAGAATCTGGATTACCATCAATATTCATTACCATTTAGTTTTGAATAAAACACTGTCTATATACCTAAAATTAATCTTTTAAAATTATCGAAAGGTGAAATTAATCGTTTTCAGAGCATTGCTTGTTTGAATTTTTTTTTTTTTGTTTCAGTGCAATTTTTCGATTTTAGATGATGATCTCACATGTCGTGTTCTGGCATCTGTCATCGGAAATACAAGAGAACAATGGCTAAATAAAGCAAAATTGGTTTATCAACTGGGACGACAGAAAGAAAAAATTGATCTGAAAAAAGTTCTTCAAATTATGCGGTGTGCTGAGCAGGTTTGTTTAGTTTGAGATTTTAAAAGAAATTATTGGATTTTAGAGACCAATGTTTTGCAGAAATAGATTTCTAACAGTCTTGTCTACGTGGTTCTCTTGATTATTGCAATTTTCTGAGAATAGTTTGTATGATAGAAAATAAGAAAAATAATTGAATTTACACACACTCAGAATTATAGTATTTCAAATATATTTTCATAAAATTGCATTTTAAATATAACTCTAAAATAGTTAAGTAATTTCTTAAATTCTTTCGTCAAGTCTCATCAAAATAGCGCTTATTTAATGTTTTTCTTTTTTTTCAGGATGGAACAGTCTTGTTATTTTTCCAGGCTGGTTTATCGGATACATATAAACAGCAAATCATGGATGTTATCAAAAAAGGAGTCGCTTAAATTGGACAAATAGTCACCGAACATTAAATTTTGTATTTACCGGTGTTTACCAGCTGCTTAATTTACCCTACGTTTTTTACCATTGTTTTTTTCTTTTTTTTTTTTTTATTGTTGTTAATTTCGCGAAAAACTGAAATATCATGATATTTTATGTGATCATAAGATGCTGTACAGTGAAATTCATTTAATTTTCAAACACGTCTTTCATTTTGATTTCAGGCTGTCAAAATGTATTCTTCCCACTGTTACTATTATCGAGTACTAATAAGGCAATAATGAGAAGTTTTAGAATATTTATAGTGTAACATTTGCTAACTATTGCTTTTTCTTATGTTATTGTAAGTGTTATAGCTATGTTTAGATAATGAAAGTTTAAATTTTAAAACGATTAAAGTTTCTATTAAAAGTTCAAATTGCATTGATTTGTTTGAAATTTATATTGCAGATAGTTTAGAGATGTTACTATCTAATATCTTCTAATAACAGTCAGATTAATAATAGTTACCGGTCTGGATAAATTATTTTGACAGTTCAGGTATATGCATTTTAGCGATTCCATACAATTTTTATAAATCATTTGTTGAACAATATTAATTGCTTTTCTGTATAAGCTGTCCTTCGCTTATCAATTTCTTATATTGGAGCTTGATAGCGTTGTGATACCAAAGTAAATTTTTTTTTTTCCTTCTTTGCTCTCAATTTTTTTCTTTTTTTTTTTTTGTGTGTGTGTGTATTATTACGGGTTCTTACAAAATAGATATGGTTTTAATCTCTGTATTTTTGCCACTACTTTTTGGCTTCCTTTTTTTTTTTTTTTTTTTTTTTTTGTTTTAAAATATTTATACTTCCATTTATTTCTCTAGCATATTGTTTGGTAGTTTAGAGTTTCAAAAAAAAAAAAAAGAAAAAACGCTTCACTTTGATATATATGGAACAAATTAGCAGAGTTGAAAGTTTAAAAATTAATAAATTTAATGTATATAAGTTTCTAACAGAATAACTTTAAATATATGAATTTATTATCTTATGAAATTGCATATATATTTACTTAATTTTTCATTTCATAACAAATTCCTATTATCTTCTATCAATTTCTACTCGTTGTACTTCCTTACTGTAACAAGAATGAAGTTGTGCAAAGAAAATCGTGAATAACTAAATTAATATTAAATAGGACTATTTAAGTTTTATTTTTGATAAACCAATATTAATTAGTATTTGAGATGAAATTTTAAAAAATTCAAACTAAATCATATCCTTTTGAATTGGATTAGTTTGCATAATAAATTTTCGAGAATGACATTTGTCCTATGAATGTTGATTGAGCAGAATTGATGGAATTTGTTTCTACCTGTTTTTTTTTTTTTCCAGGAATTTGAAAAAAGATGATACATATTTTTGTCTAAATTTAAATATTTTAAGTGATTTATTCTATTTATTGACAAAATAAGCAGAAAAAAATTGCACAAAAATATTAAAATATTCTATCAAATTTATAGATTAACAAAGAGTAAATATAATAGTAATCTGTATGATATAAGTGAGATCAGTTGGAATTTTAAACAGAAATGTAAAATTGTTTGTAGTTTAAAAAATTTTTAAATTTATTTTCAATCTCGAGTATATTTATTAGTTTTGTTATTGCTGCAACATACTCGTAAATGCTTCATGGTTGATTGTTGACAGGTAAAACCTTCGAGACAATCATCATTGTACATTGTATTGTTATCGATATTCGTGAAACAGCTATAAATTTAAGTATTAAATAATTTTGCATTAATAAATATCATTAACTCTTCATATTTTAATTTAATTCATATAGCATTTCTCGATTTTATCTGATTGAAAAAAAAGAAGTTTGAAAATTCATAATTTTTACTTTTTACGATATATTTGAAATTGTTTCTTTTCGACTTTTTGAGTTTTTTTTTTTTCTTCTTTTCTTAATTAATAAATTTATAATCGTTCCTTTTTCACTATCACTTAAGATAATCTAACAATAAATATAAGTGCTACTGCAAGTTAATATTTTCCAGTAAAAAAAGCACTTAAAAATTTAAAAAAACTTTGAAATATATGATGAGTCACAAAAAATTTTCATAAAAATGGTATAATTTCTAATTTAAGTATATGTTAGATTTAATCATCATTGTTAGCTAAGCTTTATAAAGAGAAACTTTAATAATTTAAAAATAATGAATGTATATTTTAAGATTAATTTCTACTCAAAACATACCGTTTAGCCTGATTGGTAGCCGAATCTAATTGCGCTTTTTTTCCTTTTGGACAAAAACCTATTGGTGAACAACAAATAAATCTGCCATTAAGTAATGATGACTGCTTACATAAGTAACCTTTTGGACATATGAAATTGTTATTGCCACAATAGAAAAATCCATCATCAGTAAATTTTCGATATGGAATTCTGTAATGTAAACAAAAAAATTGATAATTAGTATATAGGTTTAATATTTGAATATATTCTATTTTAGATGGGAAATGTATAAAAGTTAAAATTAAAATAATTGAAAGAGAAATATACCGGTTATCAGGACAAATTTGCATTAATTTTTTCTTTTCCTTACAACATGTAAAATCATTTGTTGTAGTAAAATTGGAACATTCATAATTATCAGGACAAATTGCTGTTGATGAACATGAAACCGGAATAGCATCATTCAGGAATGTTTCACGATCTAAGCAACGTGTCACTTCTTGAATAGCTTTTGGACAGCAAATATGTATTCCTATAATAAGTATTGTTTATATTTTATATTTTCAAATTAAAATGTTAAATTAATGAGGAAAATATGAAATATAATATTAATAGAAACATTTTATTAATTTCATTTAATTGAACTTTGCTCAGTTTTAAAAGAGAAATAGTTGTAAAATATTTGAAAATAATAATTATTTATATACTACCATTCATATTGTCAACTTCTTCACATTCCTCATTTAATTGACAATCTGTTAAATGTTTACAATATTTGACGGAATTTGGCGTAATACCGGACGAGCAATGTGATTCAGCAAAGCAACAATACATTTTTGTATTCGTAAATGATGGTTGACAGACAAAATGCTGAAAATTATGCATTATTTTTTAATTTACTACAATGGATTCATCGAATTTTTTAAATGAACATTTTACATTTTAAATGTAAATTTAAAAATTTTTGAGATTGCAGAATAGCTTGGTTCTATTTTCATCTTTTTTTCTCTTATACGCTACTAATTTTTCAAAAATTAAAATAATAAAATTTTTTATAAATTAAAAAATGCAAAGCTTTTTCTTTTTGTATTCGTTGCTTACTTATGTATTATTGCATCTAGAATACTTATTAATTGTAAATTTAATTAAAGTATTTGAATTTTAAAATTTAAGTAAACTAAATCATTTGAATAATATTTTACTTCTAAAACTTCAAAGCGTTAAAATGAATGAGTCTAAACTAAAGTTTGAAATATTTCAAATATTATGACACTTTTTCAAAAAAAAAAAAAAAAAAACTTTGATATTACTTCAGGACAATTATCTTCTATATCCTCTGAGCATTCCAGCGGTTTTCCATCTTTGTAATATGCAAATCCATTTGTACCACAAACTGCTTCTACTGAATTAACTTTTATTGCCAATGATCTAAAAATGATCTTTTAAAATGATGATCAAATAAAAATCAATAATGTCACACTAAAATTTCTCCTTGGCAAATACAATTATTAAGCAAATGATAATTGATAATCATTTTTGCAATGACATCGTTAACAAATGTAATTTATGTCTTTTTATATATATTTTTTTTTTAAATGATAAGGTTTTTAAATATCTTAAATAAATGATAAATTTACTATTGATGAATCCAACTTAAACATATCCAACATACTCTTAAATTCTATCTTTCTAATTAACCTGAAATTTTGTTTAAAAAAAAAACGAAAACAAAGAAAAATTGCAAAAGTATTTGCAGATTAATACGAAAATGTTAAAACTTTTAAATAATTAAATAAAAAGGGAATAATAAAAGCAGCATCACAATATTTGTAATTTCTTACCTGAAATGATTATTTACATTTGTTACCATCAATTGACAACAAACATTTAAATTAGGTCTATTTGATTTGGAACAAATATAGCCTTTAGGACATTCATTAGAATGTCCCAATGTTGAACAAAAATGAATGTAATGATAAGAGATAAGAGCAGGAACTGATAAATCATGTTGACATCTTATATCACTGACAGATGATAATGGAATAATCGTTTGTTTATTTTCAGTGTGAATATTATTACCACAACAAATGTAAAAATTTGCCTAAATCATAAAATAATTCATTACAAAAAAAAAAAAAAAATGACTATATGCAATTCAAAAATATAATTTAAAAATTAAATTTATTTGCAGAGAATTTGCTAATTTCATTATTGTTTTTTTTTTTTTTTTTTATGTTTATTCTTTAACATTTTTTTCCTTTTAACATAAATAATTTTTTTTTAAAAAATGAAATGAAAATATTAGTAATTATTTATCATATAAAATTTAAGCTTAATGAAATGATTACATTAATACAACATAGCATAGCTTATGATTATTAATAAAAGCTTTAATAAAATATCATTAGATAAATTTAAATTTTATACGATTAATATGTACATTTAGGAAAAAAAAAGTACTACTGCTGATTACAAAAAAAAAAAAAAAAATTGTAATAAATACATTCAAAGTTTATTTATATACTTTGTTTATTTTCCTAAATATAAACATTCAAATTTTTAAAAAACTTTTTTTTTTTCCTAAACATCCAAAATTTTTCATTTTCAAACATTCAAAAAATTTCCTAAACATTCAAATTTTAAAATAAACTTTTTTTAAAAATCAGGGTGGTAATTTAACATGAATAACCCAACGGGCAAATATGATTATTTGTATTAGTGCATAAACTTTGATCGATTACTTACAAATACATTAGTACTTATTTACAAGTAATATATTAGTACC